AAAAAAAAAAAAAAAAAAAAAATTCTATGCAGGAAGGAAGAATAAATGCTCATAATGTTATTTAAAGTTCAAATTTCGAAACAATAAACTAGTGGGAAAGGGAAGCTTACCTGCAGCATGCATCCAACTGTGCATGCAAAAGTTTGTTCGATAGGATACGAGATGCTGCAGTTTTTGATGTATTGTAGAAGGTAAGCTCTGGACCAATAGCCTGTAAAATACAACCAATTAAGAACTGAGAACAACAAAAAAATTTGTTGCATCCATGTAAATTACAATTTCGAATAATTAATTTTAATACCAGTATCCTCCTGATATTTTTGAAACAAAATTGTTAGATATAAAATGGGCAACGATTTACCAGATGGTTTAGCAGGTGTAAGGAGATTAGCGTAAATAGATGGTACAATAACTCAAAATATGATGGACAGATATTATTTAGATGTCAAAACAGGTGTATAGTTTTCAGAGAGCTGTGTGTACACGCCACCCTTATTATCAATAATCAATAACTAGAGGGTGTTTATTTTAAATCTTCAATTCATTTGAGAAGTAACCTTCAGAAAATGTAAGTTATTACACTAGAAAGGTATTGTTCTATGACCAACTCTTAGCAAAAAATGATGGACTTATTATTATGTATCAATTCCTAGGTACTTGGTTGTGAAGAATCCATTAAAATATTAAATTTGAAATTAGAATTTAATTAGACTGCTGAAATATAAGTCTACTACGGTTGCAAGATTGTTTCTCTCTCCAGAACCGCAACTGAATGTCACACTCTCTCCCCTTCAACCATAGCCTATCCTCAATTCTGTCTCTACCGGTGCTGCCCATCCATTGGCGATGGCCATAAACCTTCGACCAGCCTCACATCATCTTCTAGTGGTCCGAAAGACCACATTTCATCCACTTCCACAAAGGCCCTAGGTGCAGCCCCTAGCACTGCTGCCAGCTCCAGCGACCTGCAGCAGTCGGTGAACACTGTCGAAGGGGGCGACTGTCTCCAGCATTGACCAGGAGCATCTGGCTTCCAATTGACCTATTGTTTCATCTCACGCACCTAGTATTCTTCGTCAAAAGGACACTCTGATTACTAACAAGCCTTCCAATTGTCCAAACACTCATGTGGTGCATGCGCCCATGATGCTGCGCCTGCATGTGCACTCCACGCGCCCAAGCCGACTACCCCACATGTCCCAATTGCCACTTCCGGTGTAACACCCCAAAAATCTTAGAATAAAAATATGTCTTATAGGTTATAGTTTTATATATTTTGAAAATTCGAGGACTAAATTGAAATATGCTTTAAATTATATTTTTATTTGGGTTAGATAATTAAATTTTGATAGAGTAAGTATAAGTATATCAATGTTGGGCTCATTATGTAGCTTGTATTAAATAATGCACAATGAAGTCGAGAAATAATTATTTTGACTAAGTTATCCATGTTATTGAGGTTGAAAGATTTGCCTAAATTTATAATTAATTCTGTTATTATTCATTTTCAAAATCTTCCAATCCCACGTGAGCTATTTGTTGGAGAAAGATGTATTTCTTAATTGGTCATGATTTGATGGAGAGATAAAATAGTCTTCCTTTTAGAATAGAATGACACAATATATACAATATAGGGGCTATTTTCTTGGCACGGTACAAGGGTAGGTTATGATGGCAAATAAGAGTTGTCAAAATTTTAATATTTAATATTTGCCTTGGTATTAGAAATCTTGTCTATCCTACTATATAATAGTAACGTTGAATAGCATATAAATATTTCAGTAGGACTAATTTAAGGATTTAAATAATTTAATGGTATATAAAATTTCGGTTATTATTAATTAGCTTAAATTATAATAATTAGACGTCATTAGCCTAGAATAAAGATTTCCTATGTATGCACTTTTGATTATTTGTTTGCATTTATAAAAGCATGATTATCTTAAATTTGAAAAAGGTTAATCACATTCAAAGAATTAGATTTTGATAAACATGGATGAAGCATATCGATATTGCGTTTATTTTGAAACTCGTAATTAATTAGAATTTTTCGACTCGAGAAAAAGTCGATTTGGATAAACCAGCACCAAAATATTGCAGTTTGAAGAAATCATCAAAAAACTAACTTTTCAACCAATTTAAATCTTAGAATGGAATGGCTGCAGACAGGTGTGGTATCAGTTGGTTTTTGGCTATTATTTTATTGGTTTTGATTTTGAAAGGATAGCTGCCACATATGGTTGGATAGTGATGGTATCCTTTTAAATTGAATAAAATAATGAGGTACTACAATTTGACTAGATTTTGTTGCACGAATTTGCCTTTATTAAATAAAATTTTGGTCTATCTATTACTCTAGTCTACACCTATATATATAAGCATGATGAAATGTTTTACTCACACAAAATTTTATAACACATACAGTAGAGAGAGAGAGAGGAAAGAGTGTGTGAAATCAAAAATTTTACATACATCAACTATCACTATCGGCCAATAATCTTTCACCAGAGTAGAGGAAGAAATTTTGGAACGTGCATTCAAATAATTTTTCATGTAAATTTCAATAACAATGTAAGACACTTTATGTGTAAGGTGTTTTTGTTTCCTTATGCTCTTATATGCAATTAAATATGCATGGATTGTTAGTGGACTTTCAGGTTCTTTAAAAAGAGAGATGGAATCCTGCGGGATAGAAGAAGACCTAAAATGGGTGTGTTGCTTGGTCAACGGTATACTCCATAAGAGCAGAGTGGTATGAAATGTAGATTATTGTTATGTAATTGTGTATGGAAAATGCACATATCTTAATAAATGTTTTTGAATACTCACTCTTACAATTTTTACAGGTTAATTCGGGTCAATTGGAACGGTGTGGAATGTTGATGCGGGCTGCCAAGTGGATCAAATGAAAAGAAAAAGAAATAAGTTTGCCGTCTTTAAATTTACCAATTAGTTTAATTTTGTTCCAAATGTATTATCTGAATTAGTTTGGAGTTTATGTTATGTTTAGATACAATTTTCATGTTTTAAATTTAGATTTATAAATGTTGTAGTTATTTGTTTAATAAAGAATTTTATTTTTATAGTTCCGCACTTAAAATAAAGAAAAATAAGTTTTTCGTAACGTTTCGGAATTTATAGAAAATTAGGGCGTTACGTCCGGAGCTTCAACTAACCACCTCTGGCCCCATCTTTTTTTCATAAGGTAACAATCAGGGGAAGAAATCATTGTTAGTGGAACAGAAGAAAAACTCGAATACAAGGAAAGCTACCATTAATGAATATTTCAATTAATAGCTACTATATTTAGTTGTGATTTTGATTCTATATAATGAGAGAGCAACTCACATTGAGAGGCAACAAGACTTATTGAGTATCATCGAGTATATTTGACATGGTATCAAAGCTTCATCTGATTCTACGGTTTTTCTTAGTCAAATTCTAGGTTTTTCAAATCTAGTCCGAAGTGATCACAAGGAATGATAAATTTTGTCTATATAATGTAAAATTTGTCAATGGGCTTGGTCCTTTGGGGATCTTCCTTTGTAGTTCTGATTTTCATTATCAATATGTTTTGTCTCCTAAATAGTTTAACCAATAAACAACGGATATATTACTTTTTTTTTGGGTTCTTGAAACAAATATTATTTACTAAAAGTGAGAATAGGTTTTCAATAAAATTTCTTCCAATTGCAGCATTTTGGCCAACGATATATTACTAAATTTTTGGTCGGTGCAGTGGCTGTTAGGGTTTTTGTTGGAACACAAATTATGTGTTCGACGTTCTCCTAACTAATAGAGCTCATTGTGTGTGGTCAGCACGCTTCGTAAAATTTTTTTGAAAATTCTTCTTGAGGTGCGAGATCTCTAGAGTGTTCTTGAAGTAGTTTTAGAGTGGTTCTTGCTTATTTCTGCATTATTTGTTTCTCTTGAGTCTCTCATCGTTACTAATTTTCATAGAAGGTTGCTGTGATTTGAGTCTCTTCTTTGTGGGCAGAGCATTGTCCCCACTGTCCATACATTGTTGCAAATTGATGCTTTTACAGGTATCAATTTAAGAGGGAATGAAAGGAAAGTTACTATATTTAATAGGTTATCATAAATGAAAATAGTAATTGATAACTACCATATTTAGTTGTAATTTTGTTCTATATAATGAGAGAACCTCTCAAATTAAGAGACATCAAGTTTTGTTGAGTATCATTGAGTATATTTGATTCTCCCTACCATAGCTAGTAGTGTAAATTATATCGTTTGATTTCTTGCTGTAAATCCTAACTGATTTTTAGGGAATTTGTTCTTTCCTTTTTTATTTCATTACTTGTACTATAAATAGGGATCATTAACGATAAGTGTGTTAATTACACATTTATTAGGCACTTTAATGAGCTAATTATTGATGAATTAAGTGGATTCCTAGTCATAATTGTGGAATTATGGTGTTTATAGGCCAAAATCCCAAATTGGAGGAGAAAAGGGCTACAGGAAGAAAAAGATGACCAAAAGTGCACAAAAACATGATTTTGGGGACCAAAGTATGCAAGTACCGAAAGTTTAGGGACCTCTGGTTATAATTTTTGGAGGATGTGATTGAAAGTAAAGTCAAAATTTGAGGACTAAAATGTACAAGATGAAAGTCGAGGGACTGGACCCAAAATTACCAGGAGGACTGGAGCTGCAAAAATGGAAGAATTGGGAAGTAGCGCTGCGGCGAGGCTTGTTTGGCCGGTTTTTAATTGAAGGACCATTTTGCAATTAATTAACACGAAGCCCTTTTAAATGAAGATTCAACCCTTACATTCATCATAGTTCATCTTAAACAAACCCTAACCTTGGGAAGAAAAAGAAGAAAGGGGGAAAAGGAGAAGATTCAAAGGAAGATTCAAGATTTCAACCCTATTTTTCTTCAAGAATTTATTTAAGGGAAGGGTTTATCTATTATTTTGTACCTTCTCATTAGCTCCATCATTTTGTAATGGAATTCATCACATTCTCATTATTCTATCCTTACTTGATAATGAGATCAGTGTTTATAACTGGGATTTATAATGTAACTTGACCTAAGTTTCATTAATATCAATGTATTTATCCATTGATGCTGATTGCCATTGTGAATGACGGAAATTCTCGTCAACAATAAAGGGTCGATGACCTCTGAAACACCGAACAGTGAAACAAAGGCCACCTACGTAATTAATTCGAACGGCCTCA